TCCACCAGCCGCGTTCATGGATCTCATGAACAGGGTGTGCAGGCTGATGTTGGATCGTTCGGTGATCGTATTCATCGATGATATCTTGGTGTATTCGAGATCCAGAGAGCAGCATGAAGAGCATTTGAGGGAGATCCTCGGATTTCTGAGATCGGAGAGGCTTTACGCCAAATTCTCCAAGTGTAATTTTTGGTTACGGGAGGTCAAGTTGCTAGGGCACCTCGTTAACCAAAAGGGGATATTGGTCGATCCGTCAAAGATCGAAGCGGTGATGAGTTGGGAGGTGCCGAGGTCACCTACCGAGATCAGGAGTTTCCTTGGGTTGGCTGGTTATTATCGGAGATTTATCAGGGATTTCTCTAAGATCGTCGTGCCACTCACCAAGTTGACCCGGAAGGCTGTTGCTTTTTCATGGGGTCCGGAGCAGCAGACCTCATTTGAGACACTTCGCTAGATATTGTTCGAAGCTCCGGTGCTCGCACTCCCGGAAGGGATGGAGGCTATTGTGGTGTATTGTGATGCATCGATATTAGGGTTGGGAGCGGTGCTTATGCATAGGGGGCATGTGATAGCATATGCATCAAGGCAGCTGAAACCTCGTGAGTTGAGGTATCCCACCCACGATTTAGAGTTGGGGGCAGTGGTGTTCGCCTTCAAGATCTGGCATCACTATCTGTACGGGGTTCGGTGTACTCTATACACAGACCACAAGAGTTTGAAGCATTTGATGGATCAGCCCAACCTGAATATGCGCCAGAGGAGATGGCTGGATGTGGTGAAGGATTACGATTGCGAGATCCTGTACAACCCGGGCAAGGCTAATGTTGTAGTCGATGCCCTGAGTCGTAGGGTGGAGGGCGCCCCAATATGAGATGTTTGCTTGAGATTGATAGTGATGACTCCGGTGTGGGACACGATTCGAGGGGACCAGGCGGAGGCCGTGAGACCGGAGAACCGCAAGAAGGAGCGAGTGATCGGGCAGGTATCGAAGTTTGTTACCGATAGTCAAGGACTTATGAACTTTCACGGTCGGGTTTGGGTACCATTTATGGGCGGAACGCGTACCGTCTTGATGGAGGAGGCGCATAGATCAAAGTTCTCGATCGACCGCGGGGCTACTAAGATGTATTTGGACCTGAAGAGGTAGTATTGGTGGCCCTGTATAAAGAGGGATGTCGCATGGTTCGTTGAGAGGTGCTTGACTTGTTGCAAGGTTAAGGCCGAGAACCAGCGTCCGCATGGTAAGTTGCAACCGTTAGAGATTCCTGAGTGGAAATGGGAACAGATTACCATGGATTCTATCACCAAATTGCCGAGGACTGCTAGGGGTGTCGATGCAATTTGGGTGATTGTGGACAGGTTGACAAAGTGCGCCCGCTTCCTTGCCATCAGTGAGAGCTCTTCCACGGAGAGGCTGGCAGAGTTGTACGTTAGGGAGGTGGTATCGCGGCATGGAGTACCGATCTCGATCATCTCATATCGAGATGTGCGTTTCACTTCCAGATTCTAGAAGAAATTTCATGAGGAATTGGGTATGAGGCTACATTTTAGTACCGCATACCACCCACATACTGACGGACAGAGGGAGCAGACGATTCAGACGCTCGAGGACATGCTTCGGGCATGTGTTTTGGATTTCGGCGGGATTTGGGACACGTAGTTGCCCTTGGTTGAGTTTCTTATAACAACAGCCATCATTCGAGCATTGGTATGCCACCCTTTGAGCTGTTGTATGGAACAAGGTGTCAGACCCCCGTTTGTTGGGTGAGGTAGGGCAACGTGTGATGGGTAGTACAGAGATAGTGCTTCAGACGACAAAGCAGATACAACAGGTCAGACAGAGGTTATTGACCGCTCAGAGAAGCCAGAAGAGTTATGCGGATAGGCGTCGGTCGGAGCTCGAGTTTCAGGTCGGTGATTTCGTGCTCCTGAAAGTGTCTCCTTGGAAAGGAGTGATCCGTTTCAGGAAGAGGGGAAAGCTAGGTCCCTAGTATATTCGGCTGTTTAGGGTGACTACAAGGGTGGGCAGAGTCTAGATTCATGACACCTTCCACGTATCGTAGTTGAGGAACTGTGTGGCCGATGAGTCGGCAGTGGTACCGTTAGAGGATATCCAGGTGGATGCGATTCTGAACTACATTGAGAGACCGGTTGCGATTATGGATCGGAAGTTTAAGGTTTTAAGGAACAAGGAAGTGCCCCTGGTTCAGGTCCAGTGGCAACATCGGAGGGGATCTGAGCTGACTTGGGAACCGGAGCGCAAGATGCGTGAGCAGCATCCAGAGTTGTTTGCGGAATGAGACTTCGAGAACGAAGTCTGATTCTAGTGGGGGAGAATTGTAACATCTGGACTCCAAGGTATCTTATCTATGCTTTAATATTGAGTTTTTGGAGAGAGACTCGGCGAGTAGGTGCTTAGACTCGCCGAGTATGAGCACGGATGGTTAGACTGATTTAATGGCAGACTCGGTGAGTCCATTCGTGGACTCAGTGAGTCCACGTTGTTTAATGAAACCCTAATCCTCGGGGTTTGAAACCTATTTAAAGGGGCTTATAGCCACCATTTGCGGCTACTAGACCCATGAGAGAGACCCTTATCGTACTTGAGCATTTGTGAGAGAGAAGTAGCCATTATTGGACCTTTGTGGGATTGTTTTTCAAGAAGAAGTTGATTCCAGCTTGGAGGAGGCCAATGAGGTTGCATATTTGTGGATTTCAAGCAGAGGGCATCATCTTTGAGGTAGCAAATCGACCCTCTTTTTGTTTTGTTAAAGCATCCATGGATCTAGGGTTTCTTATGCCCTTTATTGGGTTGATTTGTTGAGAATAAGGTCCCTTATCATGTTTAGACTTCAGATCTGGACCCATAGTGGTCCAGAGAAGGTTATCCATCTTGCTTTATGTTGGGTTATGGAAGAAATGAAATTAAAGTGTTGTATTTGGGACTAAATCATCAAGTAGGGTCATCTGGACATTGCATGTACATCAAGTTCAAACCTTTACATGTTTATTGAGCTTGGGGAGGTTAGATCTATGGATTAGAGGAGCAGATCCAACCTCAGAAGGTCATTTGAGTTTGAGCATGGCTTGAAGTCGCCGAGTCCAAGAACAGACTCAGCAAGTAGGATGGATTTCCCCCATAAATCACGCAAATGGTAACTCGCTGAGTTGGGGAAGTGACTCAGTGAGTCATTTGGGGTTTTGAGGATGTGAGTTCATGATTGAACTCACCGAGTCACAATTGTATACTCGGTGAGTTTGGTCAAAGTGTTGATCGTTGACTTGTGCTGACTTTTAGGGTTTGCTCAACTTTAGAGTAATTGAGCCTTGAGAGGGCTAAAATGGTCTTTTACCATCATAAGAGTGCTAAGAGAGGTAATGGTCCAGCCTTGGGAATTCTGTTGATACCGAGTTTTTATTTTCGTATGATTTGGCGGAGGCTAGATCCTATTTCGCGGAGACCGAGATTTCCGATTTACCGAGTTACACGAGGTGAGTCTTCTGACTATACATTACCTAGAGTGGTATTATGAGTTGACCAGAAGGTCTTATGTGCTATTTATGAGATTGTGTGCCATGTATGAGATTGTGTGTTATGTGATGTATGTATGATATATAATTCTATAGACCGGATCGGAGGGTCCAACGATTCAGACCGGGCCGAAGGTCCCAACGAGCTACGGGACTGGAGGGTCCCGCTGAGACACATCGGTCGGAGGTTCGTACAGTAGCCTCGAGTAGCATATGTGTTGTATGTGGTATCCTGCGGAACTCACTAAGCGTTTATGCTTACAGTTGTTGTGTTATGTGTTGCAGGTACTAGCGAGGACAGTGGGAAGGCGCCGGCATGAATCGTATAAACCAAGAGGAGATTTGATTTATGATCTTGGGGACATGTTTGATTAATAACTATTGTGAAATAATTTTTGAGAATGTTTTATATTTTAAATGTGCTTGTTAAAAAATGAAAATTTTGTTTCGAAAATCTCGTCATTACAAAAGGTATTCCCAAATGTTCTGATGCCATGCAACCCAAATGGACCATGTCGGGTCGGGTCAAGTATTTACCAATTATAGTTATGGACTTAGACACTAATCCAACAAAAAGGAGCTTGGTTGTTTGGGGGGTAATTGTGGGTGTTGCATGTAGGCTTGAAGGTTAATCGAATGCTTGGCTTGGTTGTTCTATGGTTCAAGAGATGTAAAGTGGTGAGGTGTCACCACAAATTGAAATTCTTTTTTTTTCTACTGTCCAAACTGATTTTATTAATTTAGGAGAGTGGTTTTCGATTTTAGGGTGGCCGAAAACACCCTATAGGCTTAAAGGGATTTCGGGTTTGGTGTGACCATGGCGTTTTGGGCTTAATTTGGCCCATAATTATTTTTTTTATCTATTGGACCTATCTTGGGCTTACGAGAGGCTATTTCATCTTGATTCTTAAATATATGCACATATGATTTCATATAACATTATAGTTTGATTTTCACTAATTTTATGCAACAAGGTTACATAGAGGAAATTTTTTGTACAAGGACCACAATCTCAAACCCTAAATTGCTAGTTGTGACAAGGAATAGTTGATCCTCCCAACTGTCTGGTTCGGGCCCAGCCCCGACATTGGTTTCTGTTGGCTCGTGGGCCTAGCTTGTTAGTTCTATCCAATTGTCTCTTCTTTGATGCGTTCGAGCCAATGGTCGCTTTGATTTGATGAGTTACCATCATGCTTAGTTGTGTTATAATGGACCATTATGGGCATGTCAACAAACCCCCTAGTCTAGTAATGATGAGGAAGTGTAGCGAGTCATCATGTGCTAGACTCATAAACACACGTGTCGTTTTCTTATCCGTCAAGCAGTTATAACCAATGCAACCTAGCCCAATTTTTTATGAGAGTTTGATTTGCCATGATATTTATCCATAAATACCCATATCCCCTATTGATAGGCCTTTTTCTTTCCTTCTCAGTTTTCTTTTACTCTGTTCTTCATTTTCAAAGAAAATGGCTCTCCTTGTTAGCATGATTTCTTCTCATGGTGTTATTCCGACTTCTGAGTATCTTGAGACTCTCCAGAAGAAGTACGACTTTCAACTAGAGGATATAGTACTTCTACCCTTGGACGGCGCCACCTTTCTGGAACCTCCTTTGGTAAAAATTGGTGTCTACGTCAATACCTTAGATGTTCGCTATCAACTTCTGAATACTGGTTTTCTCAACAAGCTGCTTCGCAAAAATGAGGTCAAAGTTTATGACCTTACTCCTAATGTTGTTAACAAGGTCGTTGCTTTTGAGATGTGTGTCGATCTCGAGGTTTTCTTCAAAGTCTCCTGGTGGTTAAGGAATTTTTTTGTTTTTCTACCGTTGGTGAAAAAATTACTTTCTAGACCCGGAAGCAGCCATAAGAACTGGAAAATCATTTGTTCTGGGTAGACATTTATTGATTTGGAGGACCCTACATTCGGACTTAAACGACTTCTGATAGTGCACCCATACTGCTTGGTCGGGATGAAGAAAATGTTTGTCATTTCGAAAGTTTTACCTTTGGTCCCGAGGAGCTCCCTGAATGCATTCTTGTTGGTGCGGGGATGAGCACCGAGTGGGGGCACTGTTAAGAGACGCCTAAATTTTTTGTCATCAATGGAGGTAGGGTTTTTTGCATTTTGACTTTCCTGTTACATTTCTGTTCATATTCCCTTCCTCCATCCCTCTTTTCCTGATGTGCTTGGGCAAAAAATTAAAGGGGATTTGCAGTTTTGACCAATTGCTCTTTATGATAGCCTTCCCCCTCCCTACCATAAATTTTTTCAAGGATTCACTACTTCTGCTGTTTCAGTACCTTCACACTCAACCCCCGCCGACGAGATGCCTAGAAACCTATCTGGCACTACTTACCATGCTTCCTCCTCCCATCCCTTCCGAGGTTTTGTAGTGTGTGAAATTACAAAGAGGAGATTTTGGCAAGTTCAACATCCCACATAATGAGAAAAAGAGGACTTCTCGACCTTGTAACTCTTTCTGAAACGACCAAGGGGAAAACTGTTGACGACCGATGTCGAAGACGCAAGCTTGCCACCAGCTTCATTGACACTTTGCTACCCTCTAGTGAAGAGGTAATAAGTATCCATGGTGATGATATGCACCAATCTGAAGGGATACCAGGGGTGTCTAAGCAGCCTATCATGAACAAGGGTTCCACCGGGACTGGCCAAGGAGAGCCATTGCCGATCCACAAGGGTAAGTCTCTTGCTGCTATGGAGACATCAGACTATGATTATCTCATTGCCAGCTTCCAAGGCAAGAGTCTTTATTTGAACAATATTTTCAGTCCAAAATGGATCTCACTGATGAGTCTTGTCTCTCCCAACAAGAGGTTAATGTTGAGTTTCACACCACACCTTCCCTAAAGGAACCGTTTCTGAGATGGAAGCTTTTACTAACGACCAAAATTTTGATTGTATTGAATTTTTCTTCTACTTAAAGTGACTTTTTCCTTGTTGTTGGGGCTCACCCCATTCGCTATCACACAAGTGCAGCTATTAAGCTTTGTGTGAATGAGATGGGTCTCCAACAACACGTTGCTTCTCTGATCCATAATGGAGTTTTCTCTCCAACAATTGGAGTTGTTGGCTGGCAAGAAAATAACCTTTAAGGATATTTGTTCTCAAGTGGATACAAAACTTAATTACACCCTACAGCAGAATGGGGCCTTGAACATCCGGGTGGAGAGCCTAGTGAGAAAGTTTTTGGATAAGGAAAAATTGTTGCTTGACCGTGAGGCAAAGCTGTCTCATCTTGGGAATGATTTGTACTGGATTTTCAAGGATGGAATTGTAAGGATTGTTGACAAAATTATTGAGTTTCCATATTCTTTTCATGGTGTAGGACGTATTAAGAACATGTCCTTTGTTGCTAGTAAGGAGTCTGGCAGAGAGGTCTTGCGTAAGGCGGTGGTTGTTGGGACGTTTAATCCTAATGCTTCTAGTTCCAACTCAAGCCACTCAGGGGAGATGGTTGATGAAATCGACACTTTCATATCTTACAATTATGATTCCATGATGAAGTTGAGCTCCCTTGATATTAATGGCATTTTCTAGTTGTGCATGGATGACGATCATGGAGGAGCAGGTCCTAGAAATAATGCCAAGATCACATGCTTAGTAAGAGGAGTCGGTAAATGAATAACCTTTCTTGCTTTTGGGACCTATCCCTATTGTGATTCCCCAAAATGGGTGTGAATGTACATTTTTCTCTTTTGTTGGCCCTATGTGGCTTTGGTTTGCCAGGTTTTGGCGTGTAATAGAACAATTACATTTCTCCTTTATCTTGTTATGTATGTTGTTTTCTCACTCTTTCTCTTTGTGTGCTTATTTCCTTTATTGTGGAATTGGTTGTTTGATCCATATAATTCTTCCCCGGCAATGGTTCTAATCCTTTTAAACTATGCCGAGACTAGGTTGCTTATTATCTTGGAATTGGGTATTTGAACAATTAAACTCTTTCTTGGAAAAGGTTGTAATCCTTGGAGCCAAGGCAAGACTGAACTTCTTGTTGTTCTACCAAGTTGGGTATTTGAACCGTTCAACTTTTTCTTGGAAAAGTTTGGAATCCTTTGAGTCCAGGCAAGACTAAACCGCTTGCTGCTATATGGAGTTGGTTATGTAGACCATTCAACTCTTTCATAGCAAAGGTTGCAATCCTTTAAGCCAAGGAAAGACTAAACTACTTGCTACTATACGTAGTTGGGTATTTGAATCGTTCAAGTCTTTCATGGAAAAGCTTGTAATCCTTTGAGCCAAGGCAAGATTAAACTGCTTACTACTATATGGAGTTGGGTATTTGAGCCATACAAATACTCCTAGGCAAAGGTTGCAATCCTGTATACCAAAATAATGATGGAAAAAAAGACATTTATAATACGACAAAGATAATTACCTAGGGTGATTAGCCCTAGTTTTTTTGATTGGTTACTACTCAACGTATTACAAAAAGGAAAAAAGGTGACATTACTGGTTCTTTAGCTACCCCTCATCTCTCCTCCTCCCCCCCCCCCCCCTCTGTTTTTACCTGAAAATTTTTCTTATGTGTTGGATGTGCCAAGTTCTTGGTATGGCTCGCCCTTCCATTATTTCTAGTTCATAAAATCCATTGCAGTGTGTGGTGGTTATTCTGTATGGGCCTTCCCATGTTGGACCTAGCTTTCCCTATGGCTCGCTATGACTGACTTCATTTGCTCTCAGCACTAAGTCTCCAACCTTCATGTCTTGCCCTTGTATGGGTGTGAATGAACATTTTTCTCTTTTGTTGGCCCTATGTGGCTTTGGTTTGCTAGGTTTTGGCGTGTAATAGAACAATTACATTTCTCCTTTATCTTGTTATGTATGTTGTTTTCTCACTCTTTCTCTTTGTGTGCTTATTTCCTTTATTGTGGAATTGGTTGTTTGATCCATATAATTCTTCCCCGGCAGAGGTTGTAATCCTTTTAAACTATGTCGAGACTAGGTTGCTTATTATCTTGGAATTGGGTATTTGAACAATTAAACTCTTTCTTGGAAAAGGTTGTAATCCTTGGAGCCAAGGCAAGACTGAACTTCTTGTTGTTCTACCAAGTTGGGTATTTGAACCGTTCAACTCTTTCTTGGAAAGTTTGGAATCCTTTGAGTCCAGGCAAGACTAAACCGCTTGCTGCTATATGGAGTTGGTTATGTAGACCATTCAACTCTTTCATAGCAAAGGTTGCAATCCTTTGAGCCAAGGAAAGACTAAACTACTTGCTACTATACGTAGTTGGGTATTTGAATCGTTCAAGTCTTTCATGGAAAAGCTTGTAATCCTTTGAGCCAAGGCAAGATTAAACTGCTTACTACTATATGGAGTTGGGTATTTGAGCCATACAAATACTCCTAGGCAAAGGTTGCAACCCTTTATACCAAAATAATGATGGAAAAAAAGACATTTATAATACGAAAAAGATAATTACCTAGGGTGATTAGCCCTAGTTTTTTTGATTGGTTACTACTCAACGTATTACAAAAAGGAAAAAAGGTGACATTACTGGTTCTTTAGCTACCCCTCATCTCTCCTACTCCCCCCCCCCCCCTCTGTTTTTACCTGAAAATTTTTCTTAGGTGTTGGATGTGCCAAGTTCTTGGTATGGCTCGCCCTTCCATTATTTCTAGTTCATAAAATCCATTGCAGTGTGTGGTGGTTATTCTGTATGGGCCTTCCCATGTTGGACCTAGCTTTCCCTATGGCTCGCTATGACTGACTTCATTTGCTCTCAGCACTAAGTCTCCAACCTTCATGTCTTGCCCTTGTATGGGTGTGAATGAACATTTTTCTCTTTTTTGGCCCTATGTGGCTTTGGTTTGCTAGGTTTTGGCGTGTAATAGAACAATTACATTTCTCCTTTATCTTGTTATGTATGTTGTTTTCTCACTCTTTCTCTTTGTGTGCTTATTTCCTTTATTGTGGAATTGGTTGTTTGATCCATATAATTCTTCCCCGGCAGAGGTTGTAATCCTTTTAAACTATGTCGAGACTAGGTTGCTTATTATCTTGGAATTGGGTATTTGAACAATTAAACTCTTTCTTGGAAAAGGTTGTAATCCTTGGAGCCAAGGCAAGACTGAACTTCTTGTTGTTCTACCAAGTTGGGTATTTGAACCGTTCAACTCTTTCTTGGAAAAGTTTGGAATCCTTTGAGTCCAGGCAAGACTAAACCGCTTGCTGCTATATGGAGTTGGTTATGTAGACCATTCAACTCTTTCATAGCAAAGGTTGCAATCCTTTGAGCCAAGGAAAGACTAAACTACTTGCTACTATACGTAGTTGGGTATTTGAATCGTTCAAGTCTTTCATGGAAAAGCTTGTAATCCTTTGAGCCAAGGCAAGATTAAACTGCTTACTACTATATGGAGTTGGGTATTTGAGCCATACAAATACTCCTAGGCAAAGGTTGCAACCCTTTATACCAAAATAATGATGGAAAAAAAGACATTTATAATACGAAAAAGATAATTACCTAGGGTGATTAGCCCTAGTTTTTTTGATTGGTTACTACTCAACGTATTACAAAAAGGAAAAAAGGTGACATTACTGGTTCTTTAGCTACCCCTCATCTCTCCTCCTCCCCCCCCCCCTCTGTTTTTACCTGAAAATTTTTCTTAGGTGTTGGATGTGCCAAGTTCTTGGTATGGCTCGCCCTTCCATTATTTCTAGTTCATAAAATCCATTGCAGTGTGTGGTGGTTATTCTGTATGGGCCTTCCCATGTTGGACCTAGCTTTCCCTATGGCTCGCTATGACTGACTTCATTTGCTCTCAGCACTAAGTCTCCAACCTTCATGTCTTGCCCTTGTATGGGTGTGAATGAACATTTTTCTCTTTTGTTGGCCCTATGTGGCTTTGGTTTGCTAGGTTTTGGCGTGTAATAGAACAATTACATTTCTCCTTTATCTTGTTATGTATGTTGTTTTCTCACTCTTTCTCTTTGTGTGCTTATTTCCTTTATTGTGGAATTGGTTGTTTGATCCATATAATTCTTCCCCGGCAGAGGTTGTAATCCTTTTAAACTATGTCGAGACTAGGTTGCTTATTATCTTGGAATTGGGTATTTGAACAATTAAACTCTTTCTTGGAAAAGGTTGTAATCCTTGGAGCCAAGGCAAGACTGAACTTCTTGTTGTTCTACCAAGTTGGGTATTTGAACCGTTCAACTCTTTCTTGGAAAATTTTGGAATCCTTTGAGTCCAGGCAAGACTAAACCGCTTGCTGCTATATGGAGTTGGTTATGTAGACCATTCAACTCTTTCATAGCAAAGGTTGCAATCCTTTGAGCCAAGGAAAGACTAAACTACTTGCTACTATACGTAGTTGGGTATTTGAATCGTTCAAGTCTTTCATGGAAAAGCTTGTAATCCTTTGAGCCAAGGCAAGATTAAACTGCTTACTACTATATGGAGTTGGGTATTTGAGCCATACAAATACTCCTAGGCAAAGGTTGCAACCCTTTATACCAAAATAATGATGGAAAAAAAGACATTTATAATACGAAAAGATAATTACCTAGGGTGATTAGCCCTAGTTTTTTTGATTGGTTACTACTCAACGTATTACAAAAAGGAAAAAAGGTGACATTACTGGTTCTTTAGCTACCCCTCATCTCTCCTCCTCCCCCCCCCCCCCCTCTGTTTTTACCTGAAAATTTTTCTTATGTGTTGGATGTGCCAAGTTCTTGGTATGGCTCGCCCTTCCATTATTTCTAGTTCATAAAATCCATTGCAGTGTGTGGTGGTTATTCTGTATGGGCCTTCCCATGTTGGACCTAGCTTTCCCTATGGCTCGCTATGACTGACTTCATTTGCTCTCAGCACTAAGTCTCCAACCTTCATGTCTTGCCCTTGTATGGGTGTGAATGAACATTTTTCTCTTTTGTTGGCCCTATGTGGCTTTGGTTTGCTAGGTTTTGGCGTGTAATAGAACAATTACATTTCTCCTTTATCTTGTTATGTATGTTGTTTTCTCACTCTTTCTCTTTGTGTGCTTATTTCCTTTATTGTGGAATTGGTTGTTTGATCCATATAATTCTTCCCCGGCAGAGGTTGTAATCCTTTTAAACTATGTCGAGACTAGGTTGCTTATTATCTTGGAATTGGGTATTTGAACAATTAAACTCTTTCTTGGAAAAGGTTGTAATCCTTGGAGCCAAGGCAAGACTGAACTTCTTGTTGTTCTACCAAGTTGGGTATTTGAACCGTTCAACTCTTTCTTGGAAAAGTTTGGAATCCTTTGAGTCCAGGCAAGACTAAACCGCTTGCTGCTATATGGAGTTGGTTATGTAGACCATTCAACTCTTTCATAGCAAAGGTTGCAATCCTTTGAGCCAAGGAAAGACTAAACTACTTGCTACTATACGTAGTTGGGTATTTGAATCGTTCAAGTCTTTCATGGAAAGCTTGTAATCCTTTGAGCCAAGGCAAGATTAAACTGCTTACTACTATATGGAGTTGGGTATTTGAGCCATACAAATACTCCTAGGCAAAGGTTGCAACCCTTTATACCAAAATAATGATGGAAAAAAAGACATTTATAATACG